AATCTCTCAACCCACATATTACCTATTTATCCTAAAGGTCTAGTTGGAAACTGGATAAGGCAATACTTAAAAGGAATCCTATTCAAATTAGGAGTTAGATTTTGTTCTAAGTATTGCCTTATCCAGTTTTCAGCTGGACCTTTAGAATAAATAAGAAAATCTATGGGGGAGAGATTAATCAGAGCCATCCATCCCAAAAATCAGACATCGTGATTTTGGGTGGAAAGATAGGAACCTTATCCCTTTAGACTTTGACCCAATCCAACTCCTATTTAAAATTTAAATCCAATCAAATTTAAACATTATTTAGATCTCTCATTTAAATTTGAAATACAATCAAACTTAAATATTATCTCGATCTCCCATTTAAATGGGAAACCAAATCTAATTTAAATTAGATTTCTCATCTTAACTTAAATCAAATTCGAACCAAGAACAATAACAAAGTGGGGTGTGTCCCCTTTCTCCTAAATAAGTGGTGTGGGACCTTCTTTGCCACAAAAAGTGGTGTTGCCAAATTCTTTTTAAAAAAACCTTTTAATGAACTGGGGTAGCCCCCAAAAACTTTCGGAGAAGCCCTTTGAAAGCTCAAGCTCAAGCACATTATAACATCTTTTGAGTGTTGATTTGAGGAAGTTTAGGTGAACTTGTGACAAGACTTGAGAAATGATGATGATTGTATTGACTCTTCATGGGCTTGACTTTTGAACTCTTTAATCTTCCTAGACTTTTAGTTTGTAGTATTTTGTAACTTTAAAGTTTGTGGTTGCAAATTTGTGCTTATGGTTGCTAAAGATTTTATGAAGCTAGTTTCTAGTTTCTATCAGCGGTTGGTGGATACAGTCTCCGACAGCTAATATTGGAGTTAATGAATAAACTAAATACTTACTATCACATATATCACCTCTCTATGTTTTTATATGCAGTGACCTATTCTTTTAATTTTTTTAGAATTTTTTTATATTTATTGACCACATCGCGGTGATGCACCCACATCCGGACCGCATCGAGCCACATCACCCCCCCCAACGCATACAACCGCATCCCGCATTTTAAAATGCTGGTTTGACCAACAAGGATTATAAATGAATGTATTCATTGTAAGAAGATATACCGGGGATCTAACCATCTGCTAGTACATCACTAGAATAGAGTGACTTTGTCCGTAATAAACTAACCTCCAAACATTAAATTCCCATGGATAGTAAGTTGAATTTTGTTTGTCAGATATTTAAGTTCTCCTTCATAAAATATACCGTCAACATTTATCAGACACAGAGACATGCAAGTTCCCCAAGGGGGGGGGTTGCAGTCTTTGATTCACATGTCGCCTCTGATAGTTCTAGACATTACAAGTCCAACAAATTAAGATGGGTTAATGAATTCTTTCATCTGGAAGACTGGAGCAAAGCTCTAATTGAAATTTTAGCTGATTGATACATTAAATCATCATTTTCAGTTAGAAGAATATTGTCTCCATAAACCAAGAGAATGGACATACCCCTAAAGTGGTAGCTGATATATGTGGAGTGATCATGACCATTTTGATGGAAGCTTGCTTGAACAATGGTTGTTGAGATTTTAGGAATCGAAGTGGGGAATCACAAAGGCTAGCTTCCTGTAGTAGGAAAGGTGTACGTACAATGCATATCTCAGGCTGAGTTTCCTACCTTTTGGGAACTGCACTCTCAACCACTTGTAACCACACAAGTAATTATCAAGGAATGAGTTCCATGAGGCAAAAAGGTTCGAGGTTCTAGAGTATCCTTAGCTAGGGCTCCCCAAGCATTGGAACTGAGGTCCTCAACTGCCCTAAACAAGGGTTCCCTGGTATGGCATCATATGTATCGAGTGCCCTTAAGCATGGGTTTCCCCACAAGTATTTTAATAAAGGTCCTTGAGCATCTTTAACTAGAGTTCCGTAAATACTAGAGTTGATGTTTACTGGAATTTCTAGATTGAATAAAGAAAGAAGGATTTTGATTTCTTAATAAGGAATTTTAAAAAATAAGACATTTATTTTGGTTCCGTACTTTAGGAATGATTTTAAGCGGAGTTTCTAGACACATTTTGATGTTAAATAGAGTTTCTAGACACCTATCCTTCTTTTATAAAGAAAGTACAATTTGTATATTAATTAAGAATAAATTTTAAATAACATAATATTTCAAATAATGTTTGAAAAATTCCAAGCATTCTGTAATATTTTAGCAGTTCTTCTACCACTATGGAATAATGAAGTTTTTCCTTGAACATGGGATTTGTTAAAGGGTGTTAGCATGATATTCTAGGGATTTGATGTTTGGATTCTAAATAAATTAGATCAAGATTCCTGCAAAAGTGGAAGCGGGATCATTTTGATCAAATCACGATTTGGTGCACCTTTGGACCTTGGGATTTGATGCCGTGGAACCTGTATCCAAATAACTCTGGTTCGAGATTCCTAAATTAAAATACTGGATTCTAGGAAGATTTGTTGATCGAAGCACTGGAGTGAGATCTCGAAGCGTACGCGTTGGGGTGAACGATTCTGTTAATTGTGGCTTGAACCATCATTCTATGAAACATCTCATGGAGGCCTACATCCTTGGGCATGCATCGCAGCTTAGTTGTATCTGTTTCGCTTTATGAATTGTTTTATTTTGTTCAATGTCAAATTAAATAATGATTTTTCAAATATATATTTATTTTGCTTTTTGAATTGTTTTATTTTGCTCAATATAAAATTAAGTATTGATTTCTGAAAGGAGGAATGTAAATAATCACAAATAATCACATTTGATTACTGATACAGGCGTATGACACAGTAGTTGTGCACACTTTTAGATGCTCCTTAGTGACTGGATATGGCTTCTTGATGGGGGAATTCATGAAGGCTTTGGTGTCGTGGGAAACCAAGTTCAAAAGATATGATTTATGTCTACATTAAATAACAACTAAACGATGGAGAAAGAGAAATAGAATAAAGAGAGAAGAAAGATAGGAGCGTGAGAGAGAGAAGAGGGAGTTGCATAAGAAGAAGAGATGGAGAGAAGAATGACGTGATCCCCTTATTGGGATTCATCGTATGTTTTATATTAGTAATAATGAGCAAAATTATGGAAAATGCCCTTATGTGAGTTTATTAACCCTATAAACTCAATTACTCCATTTATATCCCGAACTTACTGCTGTACTTTCAACACTCCTTATGGGGGAGCATAGATGTCAATCATGTCCGGCTTGACATGTCTATCACAGCAACTGCTTTAGTAAAGATATCTGCTAGTTGATCTCTCGATTTCATATGAGGAGTACACACAATTCTGGTTGCAATCTTTTCCCTTGTCTTATGACAGTCTACCTCAATATGCTTCATTCTCTTATAAAATACAGGGTACTTAGGAATGTGGATGGCTGCTTTATTATCATAATAAAGAGTCATACTTAATCTAATCGTGGTCAGGGGTATAAAAGCTTCTATCTCAGCTAGCCACTTGCTATATGCTTTGTCTTAACATGCCTTTCTTCTGATGTGGGTAGTTCATCACATTTGCGCTTTCTGCTACCTGTGTTTCAGTTGTCTCCCAATCAATTTGTGCATGAAAGCTGTGGTATTGATTTGTGTGTCACCATAGTTGTTGGTGGTTTTGATTCTTTTCATGAAACTTCTCTTGTCATGAAGGTCATATCTTGAATATCATCTGCTGCTAACTCCTGAAAGAAAAAAAAAAGAAAAATCATTGAATTGGCTTTATAGGTTTGCCAATTGTCCTTGGATTCTTGTCTACTGTGTCTTCTAGTGTTTTGTGTTGGCTCACTAGGATTATAGAGCGACCATTTTTTTATGGTTTAAAGCCTCATTGTTTTTGGCATTCATTTGGTAGAATTGTATAAATGGTACCCCTAGCATATATTCAGCAATTTTTTGTATCTTCTGATAGTCTCATCTCCTGTATATTGCAAATAATCAATTATCAAAATGAAAATATAATGAGTGCAATTCTTTTAAACAGGGTGGGCTCCCTCACTTTCAGCCTCTTCGATACGTGAGTTCTAACATGTTGGTGTACAAGTATTTCAATTCATAAGCATGTGATTTTCACATATATTCAGCGTATGGTTTCAGTGAGTCCTTTTTAATGGTAGTAGGTTTTTTTTTTTTGGTTTAGTAAGACAGTTGTGTTCTGAGAGCCTCGTCAATCGAACAACGGTAACCTTCTTCTTTAGCTACTGGCATGTGCTTGTCTAGGTGGGATAGTGAGTGATTCACTTATGAAATATGACTGTCTTTTAGGGCCAGTTACATGTATCAAGGTCTCTATGAGATGACTCCTAGGTGATTCTGATTTGAAAAATCATACCTCCCCTGTTCCTGCACTGACTTCAGATATAATTCTGTAATACTTCTGGTGAAAAGGCTTCGGTTTATGCGACTGATGTCAAAAATGCCGCTTTGCACGACATGCGACGACATGTTGATTAGCAAGTCTACCTTTATATCTGGCATGTAGTTCACGAATTTCATATTAACATAGTTTTTTATGTCTTTTTAGTAAACATGGTCTCTCTTTCATTAACCGGTGGCTCCTTCCAGCTTCTGCTCCCTTTTTCCTCCGATCATTGCATTTTTATGCTGAACATAGGTGTACCCAGTCTTGCATATGTTGGTTATAACAAGACGTAACTCTAGCATAATTTTTATGCTATTTGTATGAGCCATGTTCTAATGCTCCATCACTTCTTTCGTTTTTGTAATTCTTATTTCGACAGAAGTTTGTTTTTTATATGCCATATTGCTTCTTATACTGTATTAATTATTGTCCAAGCTATAATTCTTATTCTTTTTTTGCCATGAGATTTTCGAAAGCCTAAAATAGAGCTCAACACACGAATAAAAATTATTTGTGTATATTGGGTTTTTGGGAGCCCTGCTGATGGGCAATTTGAATCATAATGTTTTTGTTGCCAAATTTGGTAAATAGAGATTTACATTCCTTGCATGTCTGTTCTTTCCACAGCCTAACTGAACAACTTGAGTCCATCAAGCCATCTTTGGATGGGGAGAGCGTACAAGCCCTCTCCTATTTTTTGGAGTGCAAGGAGGTAATTCTTTGCCATGGAAATTCTTAGAATTCATATTTGACAACTCTTTTATTTTTTATTTTTAATTTTATCTTGCATGTCATCCACCTGTTCTGTTATTATATAAAATTTTTATTTCTGATTTAATTGACATTTTCTAAGTTTTAAAGCTCACAGTCTGGTTATTCTCTTTTTGGTTGCCGCTTTTGCATTTTTCTTCTCAATGATTATTTATAACCATTTAGGGTTCACTTGAGAAGTTTCATGTATTACTTGTTCAAAATGTGAATTTGATATTTGTGTTGCATATTTTGATTTTTCAGATGTTATTTCTTCTTTTATGGCATGAAAAACAAAAGAAAAAATTACAACTTTTGATGAATTTATCAAGTGTTGATGGGCTGTCTTGCGATTTTCTTGTGTTAAGTCTTTTGACTCTGTTACTATGTATTAATAGAATCGCTTAAATTTTCTGTAATAATGATAGCTGTAAAGTGTAGATTAAGTATATGGTCTGGCTTTGTCACCTTTATTAGTTTCATAAAAGTGCAAATTCATCATTACCAAAAAAAAAGAAGTGCAAATTAATGGAAATAGCGCTGTATATTTATATCTAGCTTGTAGTCATGAATTGTCAGTTGGTATTAGAGTAAAGATTTGTGGCTTATGATTTCATGAGCTCTTGATCAGATTGTGCTAATTCTATCAGAAGTTCTATTGATCAGATTGAATATGTGGAATACTTACAAAGGGAGACCTTTTTATCTGGATTAATTTCTTGTAAAAAAATCTTTTGACAATAAATTGTGTGAATATGTCGCACACAAGAAACTAGAGTTCATTTTGGCCAATGAGGCTTCAGCCAAAGAGAATGTCCTTCAGCTTCATGAGCCATACCAAACTCTTTGGTCTAGTCTAGCTTTGGGCTGGAACTTATGTTTCTAGAGTCCACTAATATATTTCGATGTTCATTATGATTAGTAATTTTTTTGTTTATTCTAGTGTTGGAAAACTCGAAATCAATTGCTGACTCAGTCATTGCAAAGTTGAGTCAACCACAAGTTAAGTTGTCAACTCAAAAAAACTCATGCGAGTTTTTCCAAAATTTTTGTGAAGCATTAAAAAGAAGTGTCAAAAATGGGATTCAAACCCAGCTTGTCACCAACAAAAACAACTTGCCTACTGTCAGGACCCTTACTGGTTGCATGCGTCTTGGTCAAGTTAGAAGCTTGCAAACTTGGTGCATTGCCCAATCAGGTTGAGGCCTCCTTTGACCCTTCTGCTAGCCTTAGGCATTGCTCTGCAGGCCTCATGCAGCATCCTGGTGCACGATCAAGCCTCTACTGTGCATTGTGCCAAGTTATGCTACTTGGACGGCTGGTATGGACACACTTGGGATGGAAATGATTTAAGCTTACACTTCTATTTGAGGGTATGGTAGAAGCCTTGGGTCACCTGGCGGGTAGCAGTGAACAAGGCCTATGTGCAACAGCATGGTGTGCAGGTGCAGGAGTCTGTGCACCACAGCCTGGCACAAGCTAAGTGTGGGCTGACTGAGGGCTTTATAGGCACTTGTGAGCTGGGCAGGCGCCAAGTTCAAATTCAAATGAACCTTAACCAAGCAATGTGGGTGGAACAGTCAGGAGGTGGCTTAATAGCCAAGGACGTGGGTCATGAGAATAGGAGATGGTTACGCTGCATGGGTGGGCTGGTGCAGGAATAGGTCTCACCCAGGACATGGCTAAGGCTGGCAGCCTCATGTATAGCCACTCAGGGCGTGGGCAGCCTGGCTTCCTGCCAGCTGCTCACGACCTGGCCCTAGGTAGTGGCTGGCCATCACGTGTAAACAAATTCAAATTTGTAAAACAGCTGTAATCGTGGCTATATAAACCCCAGGCCCAGACCCTTGTGGGGCCATCTGTGGCAGCATACTAAGCAAGTGTATAGCTGAATAAAGCGGGTCACGGCCCTTGAACCCCTTTGTTGTGTGCTTGGTGCGAGTGTGTATGCAAAGTCCCTTAGATGGTATGAGTGTTGGTGAGGCTGAACTTGACCCTTAGCAGCAAGGCGAAGAGTCAAGGCCTCACGATTTTAGATGAAAAACTAGGGCCCGTGACAGTTGGTATCAAAGCCTAGGTCCCACAACAGCTCGAAAAAATGGTCCCTACTGTGCGCGATCATGTCAGTTTGGTTGAGGAGCGCCTAGACAACTATGTTGCTCATCTAGTCGCTCGTTGGCTACCTTGGAGGAGAGATTCCAGGCCCTAACTACCTGACTCGATGAGTTGATGGCTGCACAAGCGGAGCACGCCGGCCACTTGGGAACCCAGTTGGGGTACCTTAAGACTGATGTTGCGCCCTTGACCGACATCTTCAAAGAGAACCTCAAGACCCTGAATGGTGAGCGTAGCCTAGTCAAGAGGGCTTTAAGCAACAGTCAGGTGTGCTTGAGCAGAACCGGGTAAAGGTGCCTGAGCCTAAACCTTTTGGCGGTGCTAGGGTTGCAAAAGAGCTGGAGAACTTCTTATGGGACATGGAGCAGTACTTCACTGCTGCCTGTGCCCATGAGGAAGACCAGGTAACTGTGACTTCCATGTACCTCACCGGAGATACCAAGCTCTGGTTGAGGACTTGCATGGCCAATGGGTCAAGGCCTCCCATTGTTGGATGGAAGGACCTCAAGAGAGAACTCAAGGAGCAGTTCCTGCCAGGGAATGCGGCCTGGATGGCTCAAGAAGCCCTTCGAAAGCTCAAGCACACTGTAACATGTTGGAGACTTAAAAAAAATGGCTAGGAACATCCCATCAGAACACTATGCAACATTTTTTGGGTGGCCATAACCATTCTTGATTCAGTCAGCAATCGCTTTCTATTTAAGGAATTCTTTCACAGTTTCTTTTGATGGCAATGTACTTCCAAGCATACTTTTTCAGTATGACACTGATTGAAGGTTGCTTTGAAAACCAACTATAAGGGTTATATATAGAAATAAATTTTTTTAATAAGAATTTGATCCTTATACTCTCTAGAAATGTGGACTAGTTGTGCTTCCTTGATCTTCAGTTTGAGAAAATTTTATTTGTCTGGGACCATAATGCCCAGGGCTTATTTTGTACAACTTTGTTCTGATTATTTCACTGAAATGCTCTATCTAAATACTCGAGATTTATGTATGTGTCCAACTAAAAGTATCCTTCAGTTTGACTTCCAGAGTTGTACATAAATATAATGTAATTACATTGGTATTATCCTACATATGTTTGCAGAACTTGGACAAGCTAGAAGAAGTTAATCATTCCTTGGAAAGTGATGCAATGGACATACTTATGAAAACCTTGCATTCTTTAACGGGCTTAAGAGCAGAAATTCTGAAAGGTTTGGAAAGTGGTCTTAGAAATGATGCATCTGATGCTGCAATAGCAATGCGCCAAAAGGCAAGCTCTTGTGTTGGTTCTCATGATATCCTCGAGTTATAGTACGGCATTCTATGATCAACTTGTTGCATCTATGAATGATATTCTTGGTTTGGTATGATTTGTATGCAGTGGCGACTTAGTGAGATTGGCCTGGAGGACTTCTCTTTCGTCCTTTTAAGCAGGTGTGATCTATTATATGCCCTTTTTTCACTATTACAATGACATGTACCTAGCTTGACTAATGTTTCTATGTTTTGTAAATTGTTGTAAATCTGACCATGTATTTTTTTGGAAATATAGATTTACATATATGAGCAATACATATAAAAATACATAGTTTGTTATGTCCTTGTCAAATTATAAGATCTTTCTTTTACTTAATTTGATAAGACAGTTTCACTACTTAAATTTTGTCTTTTCCTTGTACCTTTAGTCTGAATTTTATAACATAAAGAAAATTTAAATAATTAGACAGAAGATAAATCCTCCAACTCATTAACATACCAAGAACTTGATGTAATTTTGAAGCCTCCACTTAGCCCAAAAAATGCATTTACATATATTCTAAAGGCTCCATTTTTAACCGAGGCTACTCCTATTGGCTTGCGACCCATGTTTGTGACCATAGTTTCCAGGTTCTCCCATGAAGGTGGTCGATCCAACTCAGGAAGATCATGTTGTACGGATCTCGATCCCTTTCGTTTGCATCTCTCAATCCCCCCATTCCTGATCCGTGATCTGACCCTCTTGATCCCGGTAACTATGTGACTATTGCTTTTCCTTGGCTTCCATTATGATAATGCTAATGATCTGCAATGTTAAATATCACAACCTGAAAATTGGATTCTCTTTAGATTCTCAACATGTAAATATTCGTACTGTAAATACCCCCCTAACCAAAAAAAAAAACTAGGAAAAAAGAAAATAATTGTTTCCTACTGTCAAGTTCATGGAAGTGTCCAATGTTTGTCTGTGACATGGTGAGCATAATAAATTGTCTGAATAATAACAGTTAAATTTTTTGTGCAATGTTTTAAAGGTATCTTAAACAGTGATAGCTTTTGGTGTTTCTATAGTATCAAAGTATAACTGATAATGCTTAAGATATGGAGAAACGTTACTCAATATGACTACTAAAGAGTAAAACCTTGGAGAGAAAGGTCATTCATTGTCAGGTGCATTTGGCATTCCCATTGGTGGTTTGAGATGAAAAACAAAAAGATAATGTTCCATCACCCAGAAAAAAAAGAAAAAAAAGGAAACGTAATGCTGACACACACACATACCCTTGCGGACGTGCCCACAAACATTTAACCTAACTCATTTATTTGAAGATATCTTGCCATTCTGCCAAGATATCTTGTAAGGTAATTTATCAAAATGCATTTGAGAGATGAAATGTTTAGCATATTATCTATTTATTTTGAATTAATTCCAAAAATCCCATAGAAATGCACAAGATCATGAGTTGGAATTGTTCAAAATTGGTAAGTGTTAAATAGTTGATATGTTTCGTGGATTCTAACGATTTCCCAATACTGTCTTCTAGGTTGTTTTGATTGTCTGCAGTTTGCACTGTTGGAAATTATTAAGTATTGTGGTATTTGGTGGGTATAAATGTATTTTACTTAGCTTAAGGCTTATATGTCCTATTTCATTAAAGGGTAGCATTGTAATCAAGTTAACACATAAATAAGAAGTATACATTGGTCTTTCTTGACTAATACACTACTTTCCTTTCTCTTCCTCTCTCTTCTTTCCCTTCTTTCCCTTTCTCATGGCTCTTTCTCTCTCTTCTCTTTCTTCTTTCTTTTATTTTTCTCTCTTACTACTCTCTAACATCTTACTTCTACCTCTCTCCTTTTCTCTTCGTTAGTTTGCTCTAGATTAGTTTCCACTTAGTATTGAACTAGGGTAAAGTGTCGAAGAAAAGGTGTATGGGAATAGGATTTAACATTGACGTTATTTGTATGATTAGATGACTTTAGCAACAGATGGTTAGGGCTTTCATCATGCCCTGAAACCCTAGTTTTTGCCAACAATGATTGTGTTGAGCAAGGTGAGTTTTTTTGGTATTTTTTGATGTAGATCATGTGTTTAATAGAAGACCTAAATCACAGATGGATCAGGGTTTATTTACCCTAATCAAGAAAACATTGGTAGTGTTGTTTCTAATTTTTTTATAGTGTAAAAGAGGTGTGATCTGATCTAAGGGTGTAACTAGATCTCAACTACATTGTAAGATGTCTTAACAAACATCAAATATGGAGCATTCTGGACTCCAAATTACCATAATTAAATTTGATGGCACAAATTATTAGAATGGGCCAGGTTAGTTAGATTATTTCTTATTGAAAGAGAAACTTGGGATATATTAAAGGTTATGTAGAAAAACCAGATCTCAAGGATCCTAACTATGCAGATTGGGAGGCTGATTATATGGGATTTATAACTTGGTTATTGTGTTTTATGCATCTTAATCTAAGTCGAACTATTATGAACTGCAATACTTCAAGGGCCCAGTTGGCTCATGGGATTTAGATTTCCAGGAGTCACTTTTCCTGGAAAAGCCAGATCAATTGTGTTTGGTTCGCTTAGAATTGACATTTATATTGGAATTGAGATTTTCGCAGGATTCCTGAATGCTCATTTTGAGCCTAAATTTTGGAAATCTCAATTCCACCAAAATAGGTGGAATTGACATTTCATGGAAATGATCCACAAGAACAAAAAAAATAGTAAAACTTTAGAGAGAAAAACTATATCAAATTTTAAAGAGAGAAAACATATTAAAATTTTAGAGAGGGAAACTCTATCAAATTCTAAAGAGGGAAAGTATACGAAATTTTTTAGAGAGAAAATATAAAATTTTTTAGCGAGAGAAACTATCTTAAATTTTTAGAGAGAAAAACTATCTCAAATTTAAAGTTTTAGGGAGATCATATAAAATTTTGGATAGAAACTATCTCAAATCTTAAGTTTTAGAGAGAGAAAGTATCTTAACTTTTAGAGATAGAAACTACGTTAAATTTTAGAGAGAGGAACTACATAAAGTTTTTTAGAGAGAATATCTCAAAACATTTAGAGAGAGAAATTATCTCAAATTTTAAGTTTTAGAGAGAGAGAGCATACTAAAATTTTAGAGATTAGAAACTATATCAAATTTTAGATAGAGAAACTACTAGAAAATTTTTAGAGAGAAAAACTATTTCAAATTTTAAGTTTTAGAGAGAAAATATCTTAAAACTTTAAAGAGAGAAACTATTTCAAATTTTAGATAGAGAAAGTACTTGAAATATTTAGAGAGAAACTATATCAAATTTTAGATAGAGAAAGTATTTGAAATATTTAGAGAGAAACTATTTTAAAAAAATTAGATAGAGAAACTAACTCAATTTTTAAGTTTTAGAGAGAAATTATATTAAAATTTTGGAGAGATAAACTACTTGAAAATTTTAGAGTGAGAAACTATGTCACACCCCAAGTTTTATAACACTAAAATTCCTGAGATGTGGCAGTCAATTATTAAATAACAAAACAAATTTGAAATTTTTACTATATATTGCACCAAAACAAATTTTCCATTCAAAACTTTCAGATTTGTACGCAGTCTATCCACAACTTATAATTAACATGAAGATATATATATATATATCAAACAACTACGACTATGGCAAGCATTGATTTGTGAGCTTTGCAACTCACCTTTCGAG